AAAGATAAAGACAGCAAGAAAGTTCCAGTTTCCTTTGTATTGTGTTTTATTTAATAGATATCTTTTTATTTAAAGGATGTATTTTTCAATACAGGCGGAAAGGAGGATGCCACTGTAAGTATGTAGATAAGGGCACCCACATCATAGAAACATAGAATGTGACGGCAGATAAGAAGCATTCGGCCCCTGTAGTCTGCCCAATTTTCTAAATGCTTTCTTTAGTCCCTAGCCTTATCTTATAGTTAAGATAGCCTTATTCCTATCCCACGCATGCTTAAACTCCTTTACTGTGTTAACCGCTACCACTTCAGCTGGAAGGCTATTCCATGCATCCACTACCCTCTCAGTAAAGTAATACTTCCTGGTATTATTTTTAAACCTTTGTCCCTCTAATTTAAGACTATGTCCTCTTGTTGTGGTAGTTTTTCTTCTTTTTAATATAGTCTCCTCCTTTACTGTGTTGATTCCCTTTATATATTTAAATGTTTCTATCATATCCCCCCTATCTCGTCTTTCCTCCAAGCTATACATGTTAAGATCCTTTAACCTTTCCTGGTAAGTTTTATCCTGCAATCCATGAACCAGTTTAGTAGCCCTTCTCTGAACCCTCTCTAAGGATCAATATCCTTCTGAAAATACGGTCTCCAGTACTGTGTACAATACTCCAAGTGAGGTCTCACCAGTGTTCTGTACAATGGCATGAGCACTTCCCTCTTTCTACTGCTAATACCTCTCCCTATACAACAAGCATTCTGCTAGCATTTCCTGCTGCTCTATTACATTGTCTGCCTACCTTTAAGTCATCAGAAATAATCACCCCTAAATCCCTTTCCTCAGATGTTGAGGTTGGGACTCTATCAAATATTCTGTACTCTGCCCTTGGGTTTTTACGTCCAAGATGCATTATCTTGCACTTATCCACATTAAATGTCAGTTGCCACAATTCTGACCATTTTTCTAGTTTACATAAATCATTTGTCATTTGGCTTATCCCTCCTGGAACATCAACCCTGTTCCATATCTTAGTATCATCAGCAAAAAGACATACCTTACCATCAAGACCTTCTGCAATATCACTTATAAAAATATTAAAGAGACTGGTTCCAAGTACCCCACTGAGCTACCCCACTGGTGACAAGTCCAAGCTTCGAATATATTCCATTAACTACAACCCTCTGTTGCCTGTCACTCAGCCACTGCCTTACCCATTCAACAATATTGGAATCCAAACTTAAAGATTGCAGTTTATTGATAAGCCTTCTATGTGCAACAGTGTCAAAAGCCTTACTGAAATCCAGTAGTGGCTCAGGTGGATTGGAGTCAGAGTTCCTACTCTGACTCCCTGATCTTCCTCCCGTGCAGTCTGTGTGTTAGCTGAGAGGAGTGATGTGCAGTCACTTCCTCCCAGCATGTGATGTAATCACAGGGGGCCCGGTCGCGCTGTTAAAGCACCCAGCGCTGACCGGGCCCCCTTACAACACACATCCATCGGGTGGCCCTGACAGCATGGGCCACCCGATGGACCCCTTGGACGGCGGCCGGGGCCGCAAATGGTGATGGTGGTACCCGGTCGCACGGGGACCGCTGGCTCACATCCGCCCGCCCACCCAATCTCTCAAAATGAGGAAATCCCTACCGCCCACCTGGAATCTTGAAACGCCCACTAGTGGGCGGAAGGGACCAGGTTGACGACCCATGATCTACACCAATTAATTTCCAAACAAGCTACACAATGGCTAAACATATTTTGATTTGTGATTCTGAATTCCGCCAGTAATGCAGAAAATCCCCCCCAAAAAAATATAATTGATGAAAAAAAGATGATTGCTGGCTACGGGACAGTCACTAAGTGTTCATTTTCACAGATCAAGTTGAGAAGTGACCAAAATATATTTTATTCTGAAAAGGAAATAATTGATTTAAAAAAATAATAATGATTGATTGTTGTATAAGGAGAGGTATTAGCAGTAGAAAGAGGGAAGTGTTCATGCCATTGTACAGAACACTGGTGAGACCTCACTTGGAGTATTGTACACAGTACTGGAGACCGTATCTCTAGAAGGATATTGATACTTAAGAGAGAGTTCAGAGAAGGGATACTAAACTGTTTCATGGATTACAGGATACAACTTACAAGGTAAGGTTAAAGGAACTTAAAATGTATAGCTTGGAGGAAAGACAAGACAGCACAGTAAAGGAGAAGAGAATATTTAAAAGAAGAAAAACTACCACAACAAGAGGACATAGTCTTAAATTAGAGGGGCAAAGAATAAAAAATAATTTCAGGAAGTATTACTTAGTGGATGCATAGAATAACCTTCCAGCTAAAGTAGTAGAGGTTAGCACAGTGAGGGAGTTTAAGCATGCGTGGGATAGGCAAAAGACTATCCTAGACTTAAGATCAAGCCAGGAACTAATGAATGTATTTAGAAAATTGGGCAGACTAGATGGGCCGAATAGGGCCGAATTTGTAGACAGCAAAAAATGTTTGTTTTATTCTCAAATCCAGTGAGAAGTGACCAAAAGAGGGAAGAAAAGGAAGAGCAGTAAAGAAGTCAACATTTACATATTATCTATGTAATAAATATATTTCAATAAATATATATAATAAATAAAAGTATAAATATATATATATGACTGTTCCTCCTCTTTCTATTGGTTACTTTTATTTCATCTGTGAACCAATGGTGGACACATTGTGGTGGTGACATTCAGATAAGAAGAACCACCATATAGCAGAAATTTGGGTGTCAGTGGTTCTGCTGAAACAATTGTTTTTTTGCTGTGCACAAGTCTATGTTTTGTTTTCTAAGTTGATCATTGCTTGAGGGTCTTCACTTTCCACAGTTCATATATGGATGTAGTTCACTGTAGTGAATGAGTCTACATTACCACTAGGTGGTGTGCTTGAGCTTTTAAATAAAATAGACAGTGTGTTTACTTTAAAGGGAATAAGAGAAGGAATTTAAATAGTACTAGACTATGAGGATGCCCAAAGGGCCTGGTACTCTTAGATGATCCTGCAATCTCTCACCCAGCAGGACTAATCTGTGACAGAAGAGCAGGATTTGTGAGTAGGCAGGAAAGGAAGATGCCTACATGTGACAAACCTTCCAGAGTTGCGTAATTTGGCATTAATTTAGACATTTTTTTTATAAAACATTTTTACAGGGTTATTCACTAAATTACAGAAATTAATTACCGAAATGTATAATGACTTCAAAGTCAATTTCAA